CCTAAAAAAAAAACTATAATGAAACTGACAATTAGGTTGCTTTTTTAAGGTTCCCCATTTCTAAAACAATTAAATCAAGCAAACTTATTGATTGCTATATGTGATCATCTAATGTAGACCTCATCTGCTTAAAGACTTTTTACTAGCTACCAAAAAAGTCAAGGAAATTTTCTTTTTCCCATTTTCTGTGATAATTTAGAAGTTTTTAGCTCATTTTATCGGTTTACACAAAATATTAAATACTCTCAGCACCCTTCTGACGATTAAAAAATAATTATTATAGTGAATAAATAACAAATAATATTCATTTTATTGTATTTTTATGGACTTAATTAGTCAAACCTAAGGATTTTCAATTTGAAAATATCTGAACCATTCTTTAAAAACCTACTATGTGGAGATTATGTGCAACTGTGGAATATTAATTTGTTCTCAGGGTGTTAAAACCTCTGCTTTTCTAAAACACTACTGAGGACACAACATCTGTGCCATCAGTGGTAGCTACATTCCTGCGGTGAGGTTCCTTCTGTGTATATATGATTGTTTGAGAGGGCTGTAACGGTATGTTTCAGTGTGGTTTGGTACGACCAGACGTCCTACCCGACATCCTGGCAGCTGGACCCCACGGAAGGGCCGAACAGGGAGCGACGGCGACTACAGAGATGCTACCTCACCATCCCCAACAAATACCTGCTCCAAGACAGACGCAAGCCTGAAGGTGCATCATCCTTTTTCCTTGTCACAAACTGGCAGAGATCTGTGTTTGTCAGCCTCATTGTTAATCATTTGACCTTTGCGTCTTGTTTAGACACCCTGAAGTCACCACTATCCTTCCTGTTTGAGGATAAGACCCACTCCTCCTTCTCCTCCACTGTCAAAGACAAAGCCACCAGCGAGTCCATCAGGTAAACATTTCTTCTTCTCTGTTTATCTGCCCTTCCATAAGCCCATAGTGTAACCATCATTTCCCTCTTGGTAAGCCGGGATGAACTGAGGCACGTACACATCCTATTAACTGGTGCTACACTGAGAGGTGTGTGTGCTTTATTCAGATGGTGTCTTGTATGAGAAATGTCTGTTGTATCCTTAGGTTCACCAGGCGTTGCATCAGTGTCGCCCCCTCCAGAGAGACTGCAGGGGAGCTACTTCTGGGTAAGACCATTGCTCACAGCTGCTCCATGCTTAATAAACTCAGCTGGTCACAAGACCCAAAGAAAGTGCTCTCTTTGTTAGGTATTCAGTAGGGAAACCTTTTGTTTGTCTTGTTCTTACTACACCAAATCTCACTGACCCTGTGCTGCCTCACAGGAAAGTGTGGGATGTACTTTGTGGAGGACAATGCTGCTGATGCTCACGACAACCAGGTAAAGCTTACTTTACTGCTGACACTTATGCTCTGCCATGTGAGTCCACCTGGCAACTCAACACCAGATGTGTTGATGTTTGGACAGAGCCTTCACGGGGAGACGGAGGCACCGTCTTTCTCCTGGACATATGAAGAGATCAAGGAGGTGCACAAACGATGGTGGCAGCTGAGAGACAACGCTGTGGAAATATTCCTCACCAACGGCAGAACCCTGCTGTTAGCCTTTGACAACACCAAGGTGATATGACAAAACGTCACATGAAACAAATAAGAAATAAGCCACGTTGTCAGTGGAAGGTTAGATATTCAGGAAATAAACACTGAAATGAATGGTGATATTGCTCAGGAACTGCATACAGGAGATGTTCTAGTATATTTCCTTTAGCTGTTTCCATTTCCATTATTGCAAAGATCATCCATAACACGGATATTAAGAAGAGAAAGATTCACCCTGTGTTTTATTTGAGTATAAAAACACAGGATGGGCCATGATTTAAAAAAAAAAAATGCCAAGATGAAAAAGTGCACCGAGGATGCATGAAGAGACCAAATCAAGCAGCTTGTGGGGGGGACATTTGCAGTGAGATTTAATTATTGAATTGCCTTTTTAGTATTCTGTCCCTGATACCTGCTGAGCTCGGTAGTATGCTGTGCCAGGAGTCAATTATGAAAATAAGAAACAGTGCCATCATATTCTGTAAAAAAAAAAAAATTATTGTTTTACACTATTTTCCATGAAATTCAGCAAAAACATTGGACAACCAGCTTTTAAATGAGTCAGGAGTTTACAACAGGCAGAAACATCAAAGTCGTTCTTCGTCAGATGGTCTGTGGACTTGCAAAAACCTTTACTGGAAAAATGGTCAAAAAAGACTTTCATTTTTTTCTGTGCATTTACTTAAATTTGAAACTGACAGGTATTGGATTTTTGTGAAATGTCTTGTAATTTGGTCCACACATTCATGTCCTCTTCTCGATGAATTCTTACCTCTGACTTTTCAACATCATCAGGTCAAATGTTTAATTTGTCAACCACTTGACTTTCCCATTAGGTCCAGCTTTACTCTTTGTTTAGTGTTAATTACAGATGTTAGCATGCTAACAGGCTAAATTGGAGATGAACATAAACATTTTACCTGCTTAACATCGGCATAACTTTGTCATTATGAGTAAGTTAGCATGCTCATATTAACATTTGTTGTAAACCTTGCTGTCAAGTACAGCCTTACAGCTTGATTGCTAAAAGCTGATATCAGTATTTTTGTAATTGAAGTTATTAATATTTGAGTACATGTCAGCAGCATTCAGTGTCTTTACCTTTACTGTCTCTCAAAATACTATGTATTCCATGTTTCTCCCTGGTTTGGTGAAAACTCACCAAGTCTTGAGTAATTTGATATGGATTATCAGCTCCTTAAGGCAACAGGCTCAATATTCTTTGGAAAGTAAAGACACACAACTGGTTTTATCATTTAGATTATATTTGCAAGTATTTTTCCAATGTTTCAGTTCAGTCTTGACATTAGTGTTGGAAATAGTGGCATTGATATTCTGTGTTCTCACCTTAGTTCCGTGACGACGTCTACCACAACATCCTCACCTCTGACTTGCCCAACCTCCTGGAGCACGGAAACATCACAGCGCTCACACAGCTGTGGGGCTCGGGCCAAATCTCTAACTTTGAGTACCTCACACATCTCAACAAGCACGCAGGACGCTCCTTCAATGACCTCATGCAGTACCCAGTGTTCCCCTTTATCCTGCGAGATTACACCAGTGAGACACTTGACCTGCAGGACCCAAACATCTACAGGTCAGTGCTGGGCAACTATTCTGTTTCTCTCTTAGGAAAGGTATTTGAGGTTACTTTATACCAAGTTTTATGAGCGAAAAAGTCCTGCACTCAAAATCTGTACCTCTTCTCCTCTTGTTTATGCTAAAGCTATTCCAGACCATCATGATAAATGAACTAAAGTCAAGTCATTTATAATAAGACGTCACAAGTGGACATCATGATTCATTGTTGTTTCCATTTTGTGGTCATGCAGGAATTTGAGCAAACCCATCGCAGTCCAGTCAAAAGAAAAAGAGGATCGCTATGTGGATAACTACAGGGTAAGGCCTTGTACCTTTTTTAGCATGTGTTACTTTACTGTAAATGTAGCAGATGTTTGTGGTATGAAAACACAGTGTTTGTTGTGCAGTACCTGGAGGAGGAGTACAAAAAGGGCATTCGTGAGGACGACCCCATGCCTCCCGTGCAACCCTACCATTATGGCTCACACTACTCCAACAGTGGCACAGTGCTGCACTTCCTCGTCCGAATGCCCCCTTTCACCAAGATGTTCCTCGCGTACCAGGGTCAGTCACACACAACAGCAAGACCAATCAATGAAAAACCTGGAGTTTGCATTGTCTTTGCAAGAGTTTGAACATGTAAAAGCTAATTGACAGTCCTCAACTGCTTAACAGCAGATTATTATCATAAATCTCCAGCAGCACCGAGCGCCACCTGTCTCCATCTTGGTTGATGCTGTGGCTTTTAGTACTGAAATGCTTGAGTGTCCTGATCTCAGATCTAACGCAGCAGCATGTTGTCCAAGCCAGGAAAGATTACTTCATCTTCACTCTTGTCTCTGATCAACCCTTCTCCTTCTCCTTTCTATTTCTTCCTGTTGTGCTAATTAGTTTTTCATATATCCCTCTCTCTCTTCTGATCCTCAGAAGCATCTTTTTATTTGATTGTAAATGTATTCAGCAAGCATGGCATCTAAGGTCATGAAAGGGTTTCCTTTCAATCAGTGAGTTGAAATGGTAATTAGATTGTCTCTGGCCTTAATCAGACCAAAGCTTTGATATCCCGGACCGGACATTTCACTCCATGAACACCACATGGCGCCTGTCCTCCTACGAGTCCATGACTGATGTGAAAGAGCTCATTCCTGAGTTTTTCTACCTCCCAGAATTTCTGGTCAACAGAGAGGGTAATTATTTTTCCACTCTCTCTTTTTTACCTTTTATAAGTGCATTTTATACCTGTATACGTGTTTCATAGCTTCTTAGAAATTAAAAAAGTAAAATTTTTCTCTTGTACAGGTTTTGATTTTGGTGTTCGTCAGAATGGTGACAGGGTGAACCATGTGAACTTGCCCCCCTGGGCTCGCAACGACCCACGTCTGTTCATCCTAATCCACCGACAGGCGCTCGAGTCTGATCAGGTCTCCCAGACACTGTGCCAGTGGATTGACCTGGTGTTTGGACTCAAGCAGAAAGGCAAAGCTGCAGTCCAGGCCATCAATGTCTTCCACCCAGCTGTAAGCAGCTGCTAGTTACCATGTTTGCTTGGAAGTATTAGAAAAACATTGCAGTTGTTGTTGCTGCATTCATCAGTTTCATATCGTTTTCACAGACATATTTTGGCATGGACGTTTCAGCGGTAGAAGATCCGGTGCAGCGACGGGCCCTGGAGACAATGATTAAGACATACGGACAGACACCCAGGCAGCTCTTCCATGCCTCTCATATCAGCAGGGCAGGCCCCAGACTCACCATGGAGGGGGAGCCGCCGGCAGCCCAGGGGC